GATAATGATGATAAGCATCTTGCAAAAAAAAGCAGGATTTTTTTTTTCCATGAGGAAACACGTCGAAGAACAGCTCGGACTGACCCCTAAGCTGCTGCCCTAAACGGGGTATGTCAGCTGCTTTTCCAGTAACACACCAGTAGTATCAGGTAGTGATGTGTATGAGATATCAGAAAGTGGATAGTAGTACTTCCTTACAATGCTAAGTCATGCTAGCAATTTGCTAATCACCTGTTAAGTCATGTTAGCAACATCATGATAAAAACTTGAGGCATGTTAACAAAACATGTTGATGTCTTGTGTAAACTTATGTAAACTATGTGCTAAATTCACAGGCTAATAACTTCTTAAACATTCTAACCTCATGCTAATGGTAATTGAATTAGGCTAATGCAATGTTAAGTGATGCAAGCATAAAACTAACAGTTTGCTAAGTTATGCTAGCAATTTGCTAATCACCTGTTAAGTCATGCTAGTAAAATCATGATAAAAACTTGTTGAGGCATGTTAACAAAACATGCTTATGACTTAGTAATGTATGTAAACTATGAGCAAAATTCATAGCAATTCATGCTAATAACTTTTTAAATCATTCTAACCTCATGCTAATGACAATCGAATTAATGTTTATTCATGCTACTACAATGTGAAGTTGTGCTAACATATATTGGCATGCTACGTTGTGCTAGCAATTTGCTAATGGAATGTGAGGTAAAAATACTTTCATGCTAATGGTATGCAAGTTCAGGCTATCTTCGTGTTAATGAGATAAGTCATGCTAGCAATAAGATAATGCCTTTTATGAACTGAACAATGCTAACAACATGCTAATGAACCGAGTCCGGTTCATATGTGTTCATATGTCACGTGCGTCATTAACATACATTCATGACCACAGCCGCGATGCGTTTGGTAAAATGGAGAAGTTTTTAAAACTAAAGGCATCGCAGACTTCTGATACATCTTCAGATCAAACCAAATCTAAAAAGGAGAAAATATGATCGGTCCTATCTCGATCTTGGTTTTATTGCCAGCGGAGGTCCAGAGGGTGAGGAAGTCCTGCAGTGTCTTTTATGCTTAGAAAAGCTTGCAAGTGCTAGCATGAAAGCCTCAAAACTTAAACGGCACTTGACAACAAAACATTCGGCTTATGAAAACAAAGGTTGATCATATTTTCTTCTAAAAAAAGAAGAGTATCTTCGTCAGGCACACCCTTCTCACTAATACATTTCCTTTGCTTTCTTTTAAGCTTGTCAGTTCTTAAAATGTTTGTCTTTGTAAATAAGTATAACTCAGTTATTCTCACAATATTAGCATTATAACACAACTGTGTTTCTCATCAGCCCTTAAGTATTGCAATCAACTGTAAATTTAATTATTATTAAGTAAAATAAAAACTGTGATGTAAATGAGGTTTTATTTACCCATTTTTCCATATAAAAATATTATGGTGGGTCTTGAGATCAACGTACTTGCCTAGGTGGGTCCTGAAATGAAAAAGTTTGGGAACCCCTGTGCTAGTAGTATGCTAATGGGAAGCTTGGGTTTTGAACGTTTTCACATTTTCCCCAACTGTTATTGGTTCATCAACCCAACAAACATTTTTCTTCAAACTTTGTCCTTTTACTATATTTATATTTTGTTCTATATATATTAAGCCTTTTGTTATATAGCATGTGTGTCAACTGTGAGCTGAAATAGGGGTGTGTTTGTATACTTTGGGTAAATGAGGTAAATTCTGCATCGGTATCAGTCACAGGCAAAAAATTGCTGTAACAAAAGAAAGGATGTAATTTTGCTTATCTCCTTTGGCTACATTTCCTCCGGGATATAAATCATCACAAGACAAGACTTCCAGACTAACCCCTTGAGGAAAAAATATATAAATTTCCCCAAGAATCCAGTGTAGCTCCTTAACGAGAGAAAATATAGAACGCAGGCATCCCACCATTGTATTTCTCTGCATATCGCGCTGTCTTTAACTATACAGTAAAATTAATTATGTTGGCTTGTTCAATCTGCAAAGACAAACTTTGTCAAGACATCCAAACTGGTGTGACTAGGATGCTATATCTTTTCAGACTGGTACCATGAATGAAATTCTGGGAAATCCTTGTTAATGCTGGGAAATTTTCCTTTGATTTAACATAGGGTCCAACTTTGTAAACTGTGAATCAAACTGAGAAGTAAGAACCTCATAGAAACTTCAAACAGACCAGACTTGCGTGGGTTATCAGTCTGGGCAGCACAAGCCCAGGATATTTAAACACCAGGATCTAGAAGGGGTTAAATATTTACAAAACTAAACGTCAAGGAAAGTATGGTTGAAACATCACAGAGAAATGGGGGGTTGTTTATATTACGTACAGTAAAAAATTATAAAATTTATATGACATAACTACAAGCTCCATAAAAACCAAACTGTTTAGCCTAGCAACTATATTTTCTGAACTCTGTCTCTGCTTTGGTAAACGATAAAGACAAAAAAGGGTTTATATAATGTATAGTGGTATTATGTCTCAGACCCCTCCATAGCAACCATAAGGTTAAGCATAGCAACCAAATCAAAGAGACATGAGATTGGCTTAGATCACTCAATTTTTTATGCCCCTGACTTCTCCAAGACAACCAAAAATTATACCTTTGCACCCAGTCCATTTTGTTTTTAAAAAGGGTTTTTGCAAGCCATACAAGTGTGCGTAATTTGACACACTGGTGGACCTTGCTTTTAGAAATGAACGTAGTAGTATGGGCGTAATTTCACCCAAAATTACAAGAAAACAACACCTTGTTTTGAAGTATGCTTGAAAAAGCTAAGTGAAGGTCCTCTGTAGTAGCACACACTTTAGTGTCAAGGGTCACTTCCACTCCAAATTGGCATCAGTTGAACTTGTCTTGGGGGATTACATGGGTGATAGCAAATGGTTTTCTAACAACAAACATCATCTCTTTCAAACTTTAGATTATTTCATCATCAATCTAGTATGGGTATACAACTAAATCCAAAGACACTAGCCAGACTCACGATAAAACAGTATGAACAACAAGAAACAATGGCCATCTTGTTTTCATAGACGTCCAATGTTCTGCTTGTTTTCTTTGTTTCCGCATGTTTCTGGAAACATTTTATGGGTTACGATGACAGTACTTGTACTTACTCTACAGCCTTTTTATTTTACTTAAAATGCCTTTTACAGCTGGATGGACTACTGGATAAGAATATTGTCCACCAACTCCGGCCGGCTGGTGTGTTTACTATGTGTTCGTTTGCTGCTGTATGATAACTCACTTCCAGTAAAATAGCCCTTCTCCCACTCACTGGCCCAAAACTGTTGTGCTGAACCAATCAGACCAAATGTGTTTGTTCTACTCAAAGTTAAGTCCAAATCCCAGATTCCTCAGGTCTTGAATTGGAGGAGCAACACTTGGGGTTGTAAGAGGTCTTCTCTTTACTATATTTGGGTGAGAGGGCAGCTAACCTCTACAGACACCCGGTCTGTCCAGAAAAGACTGTTCCCATGAACATGAAAGCACAACCTCAGTGAGAACAAGGGGGGGTTTGAGGGTCTAAAGTAATTCCCCGTAGTGGTGGCCTTCTCTTTCCTCCTTTGAGTCACACCTCAAGAGAGGTGTCAGGAGAGTGTGCCGGCTAGATTCCCTAGACATCAAAGAGACAATCTCTAAAGATCACAGCCACATTTGTTTTTAGATATCTGCTATAGAATTGTAAAGATTTTCCTGAAAATCTCAAGCTGCATTCAATGGTTCCCATTAAATGCAGTTTGCATTGGATTTCTTTCAACTCCACTTAAGTAAGATTACAATCTCTGCAAGCGAATCATTTAGTTGTTACAGTCAGTGTATACTGGAACTTCCTGAACATGTTGTAAATAAGATCTTTAAATAGCTCCAAGAAGAGGACTCGGGCTGAGGCTTTACAGAAAACCCCATCAAGACCAAATTTCCTTGTGTCATCCGTTTTCTATGCAATGAATGCAATGTCTTTGTGTTTGAAAGATGTAAAAGGTGTTTGAAAGATGTAACAGATGTGTACAAGGAAGCATGCAGCTGTTGGTTGTATATAAGCTCGTGTAGTTTTTGGAAAAGGATAGTCGAAGAAGGCCGGCCTGCTAAGGAGAGGAGTGGACACCCTTCTTACTGAAAGATCAAAGACGTCATCTGTGAATTTCCCAAGTCAACACATCCCATTTATATGGGAATATTCATCATGGGAAAGGCTTTCATGTGCAGGGGGGGATATACGCACTGTATATTATAGTGTAAATATACAGTAGTGTGCACTGTCAAAAAATAAAACAAAACAAGGCTGCCTAACGAAACCTGTAAAAACTCCATAGATGTGTACAGTAATCAACTTTTATTTTCCAAACATTTCACAAACAATTTATGGCCACATGTATTAAAATAAACAATTCTGTTTGACAATTTATGGCATAAAACTGTTCATTTAAAGATGCACTTTGTCTTTTTAAAGTTGCAGTTCTTTAAAAAAAATTTACATAAAAATAGCATTAATAAAATATATTTATATTAAATTATAATTTTAATTTACAATGTCTCTATGAAAATAATAGCTTTTGCAAATGTACAGAAAAATAGCATTGTTTTACAGATTCATCCGTTACTTTTACAAGCAAATGTCTTATTTAAAATGATGATTACCATCACCTTACAAGTTTTCTTGTGTATACTTTTGTGATCAAATGTCCCAAATGAACAGAATTTCTATTACACAGAAAAGTATTGTATAATGTGTGATTAAACGTCTTAAACACAATTATAACTTTGTTTGGCTCACAGGAAATTACCTTTATTTTATATCTATTTAAAAAAAAAGTTACATAAATTTCAGTTTGTCATACTGTGTAAACTTTTAAGAGGGTCCTTTGATGAGATTTAGAGGCCTGGAGTCAGGAGTTTGCAGTGTTTATTTTTTTATTGTGAACCAAAGAAAACAAATGAATAATGAACAAATTGGCTCTTTCCTGTTGCTCAGTTGGTAGAGCATTGTGCTAACAATGCAAAGGTCGTGGGTTCAATCCAGGGAAAGCAAGAACTGACAATAATATGTTTATTCTTTCAAATGCAAGACGCTTTGGGTCTGCTAAATGCATAAATGTAAATGTAATGAATATGCAAAAAAAACCTCAATAAACTCAGTTGAGGATTAGGGTTGCCCTGGGATCAGAGCTTGGGGTGTACTCAGACCTTTTTTACTGTGCACAGTGCCTCACAAAAGCTAAATTTCATTGTTAATCAATAGAAAAATGAAAGCTGGTTTTCATTAAACAAATTAAAGCACTTTTTTTTTTTAAAAAGTGACATTCTTTGATTCCAATCTATGCTGCAAGGAATTCCTCATAAGTTCATCCATCTTCTAACCTGCTTATTCCTTTTGGGTTTGCTGGTGTCAACGCACATCGGGTGAGAGGTGGGGGTACACCCTGGGCAGGTCGCTAGTCCATCATAAGCTGCAAGGAATTAGTGATATGGAAACATTTTTTATTTTACTTTTAGAATCAAATACTTAATGATTTAATTTGCCAAACCTTTTCAATATATTTTCTTTCCTTTCACTTATTCATCTAATTGACTGACCTGGGACACTGATCTTCAGTGCTGCTGCCCCCTAATGGATTGGAGTGATTTTTTTGCTTGCATAGAATGGTTGTAAAAATGTGGGTTTTGCTTTCTGCTTATTTCTGTATATCATCAAAAAAAACTAATTTTTATTATCCTTAATCAATTTAATAAACAAGAATTAACAGATAATAGTTTATTTAAATTTTAAGCACAAAAAATTTAGTAGTGCTATATTGTTGATTTGGTAGTGCTATATTGGTGATAAAGAGCACAACTGTCTGTAATGTTATTAATAATTTCAAACCATTATTTTAATTATTAAACCCATATTTTTTTGGACGGATGTGAGGAAGTCTTAAGAAAGAGGTTACAATATTGCAGCATATCAGAACATGTGCACCCTCCTGCTCGCAGCCAGTCAGCACACAAATATCAGGAACCTTAATGTCTTCATATTTTCATTTCTATGTTAAAAATAAAGTATTTATTGTACAGTAAATCAAATTTGCCCCTGTGATGGACTAGCGACCTGTCCAGGGTGTACCCCCGCCTCTCATTCAATGTGCGCTGGAGCTCCAGGGGACCCCCCGTGACCCTGAAAGGGAATAAGCGGGTTTGGAAAAGGAATGAATGAATTAATGAATGAATAACGCCAGAACCATTTCGTCCCGCTTCAAATAAACCATGTCCTCACTTCAGCGGCCTCAAAGAAACAGTACTTTATTTCTCCTGTACTTCATCAGTGACACATAAACTCCTGTACACTGACTCAAAGTGGCCCCAGTTCAGTTGCATAAGTTGCCATCAGGTTGAAAGTGCAAATCCTGATACAGCTGACAGTTCACTTAACAGGAAGAGCTTGCTTTTTACACAGAAAGAACAATGAGCTGATAAGATGGTAAACCTTAATGTTTATTTCTTTGAGTCTCAAATTTAGTTAATTATAAATCTGTACAAAAATGATGGGCATGGATAATTTGATAAGAGAAAGCTTATCATCTCTTCACCTGGTGAGAAAACGTTGTTTCATTGCAAGTAGCCCCAATGACAATCCATATAGTACTCTATGAAAATAAAGACAGCTGACTCTGGATCTGTTCTCTGATTTACAAAACTAGAAGCTGACTGTGAGCTCTATGACCTCTGACCTCTTGCTGGGGTGCTAAGCTGCCAACTGTCGTCAGCAGTCCAAAAACACGATTTATTCTCCAGGTCAAAGACCTCGCCCACACAGCAGAAGAATGGAAAAAGAGAAGTGTAAAAGTATTTACAAATTACTAGGGCAATAACTGAAATGTTTGACTAAGAGCAAACACATACTGTTACACGGAAGGTCCTTGAAGCTTCAAACAGGAAAAGGAAACTGGAATTTGCTGAGGTTATTCTGGTGCATCTGGTGACATAAAGACCTTGACTAACAAACACTTCCTTTTCAGTAGCATGTGGTGGACACTTTATTTTTAATATAATTTATTATTAATTTTTTTTAACTGATTAATCAAGGGGTTTGGGTCAAACAAAACAAAAAAGTGTTGATCAATTAAATCCAGTGGGCTTATAGAATTCAGTTTAGTTAAGTGCTTAAAACACTAAGCTCATAAATGTATGAGCTCACGTCTGCATTTTGTTCTTGTTTTACTTCATTTATTAAAATTGCTTTTTAATCATAAGAATTGTAGAATTGGGTGGATAAAATTAATCTCTAACAGTGCACCATTTTTTGTGTTAAACATCGTTGGCAATTGTCACGTACACTTAAGAGCTCAAACTAAATTGATAATTATTAATCATTTCTTATAAACTTTGTTTCAATATACAGTGAAGCTAAATATCAATGCCAGTTAGCATGTTAGCTTTGACAGATGCTAACGTTCCCGTGATGCTAAGCTAACGTCCTTGCTAACAACATCCGAATCGATTAAGGAGTTCAAAAACATTCTGAAAAGCTTTTGCACTTACTCTAGACGATTGTAAGGTGCTCTTTCTGGTCTCATTGTCGATAACTCTTCCTGTAGTCTCGAGGTTTATCCATGAGGAGCAGAAAAAGGCCTTTGTTGGATAGCTGTGAATATCAACTTTATTGATATACATGGGCCTTAATCTTAGAAAGTATTAAACTCACATTATGAGCATTCGAGATTGTTATTGACCTCGTGGGTGACACATTATGTTTATTTTCAACGTTTGACAAAAAATAAAAGATTAATGTATTCAAATACACTTATATAAAATCACTAATATTGAATTAGATGTATAGAAACTGTTAAAGCATGTCGTTATATGCATTCTTTGTATAATATTTATCTGTTTATTACTTGTTATTTATTTTGGTAAACTTTACTGTAAATGTATTGTTTCGTTTGATGTTTCAATTAAATAAAAAGAAATCATTAAATGCAAATTCTACAAGCCTAATTCGTGCTTTAGTTTTACGCTTTCCTCTCTGAGTTTCTAATGAAACTAATGAAAAATAAACATACATTTTGAGGACATATTGCTTATTCTGATCACTTCCTTTTATTTGTTATTTTATTCTTTTTTTATAGTGTCTTAAACAGTGGTTGTCTCAAAAGCATCAAAAAGTTTTTCCTCCTTTACCATTTTTAAGCTTGTGAGAATAATGCAGAATTAACCACTCTCTGGGGCTATGCGTTCATTTCCAGTGTTTCCTGGTCCTTTCTATGCTGGAGATACTCACCAACGGCTTTGGCTGTATGTTTGGGATCATTGTCCAGGTGCAGACTCCCTGTTGGTATTGCATGATGCCTGTAATTCTCAGTATTGAGAACACCATTTATCCTGACCATCCAACAGCGACAGCATTTGCAGAAATGCAGCCTCAAACATTTAAGGAACCTCCACCATGGTTAACGGGTTGACTACAGACCCTCAATTATTGGACCACTCTCCAACTAGAGACAATTCACCAATCTACAGAACTTTCTGTACCGCAGTAGTTATTGTTTCATGTGTACTTGAGTTGCTTGGACTTATTCCCTTTTATGGAAGTATGACTTTTTGGCTATAACTTTTCCGAGACCACGTCTGGTCAGATTTTTCCAGATAGCAGATGGGTGTAACCGTAACTGCAGCTGGTTTCAGCCATTTTCAAAGGATAATAAGCTTGATCCTCAACATTGCTCATCTCCTCTGGCTTCTTCAAAACAGCACATCTTAACCTGAGTCTTCTTCTTTTACTTTCGGCTGTTCCCAGTTTAGGGGTCGCCACAGCGAATCATCCTTTTCCACCTAACTCTGTCCTCAGTATCCTCTACTCTTGCACCAACTACCTTCATGTCCTCTTTCAGCACATCCATATATCTCCTCTTTGGTCTTCCTCTTGACCTCTTGCCTGGCATCTCCATCTCCAGCATCCTTCTACCAATAAAACCACTATCCCTCCTCTGCACATGTCCAAACCATCTCAACCTGGCCTCTCTGACTTTGTCTCCAAAACAACCAACCTGAGCTGTCCCTCTGATGTGCTCGTTCCTAATCTTGTCCATCCTCGTCACTCCTAAACTGAACCTCAACATCCTCATCTCTGCTACTTCCAGCTCTGCCTCATGTCTCTTCTTTACTGCCACAGTCTCCAACCCATACATCATAGCTGGTCTCACTACTGTTCTGTACACCTTTCCTTTGATTCTTGCTGACACTCTTCTGTCACACAACACCCCTGACACTTTTCTCCACCCACTCCAACCTGCCTGCACTCGTCTCTTCACCTCTTTTCCACACTCCCCGTCACACTGGACTGTTGACCCCAAATACCTAAACTCCTGCACCTTCTTGACCTCAGCCCCCTGTAACCTCACTGTTCTATTTCCCTCCCTCTCGTTCAAACACATATTCTGTCTTGCTGCGACTGACTTTCATTCCTCTTCTTTCTAGAGCTGACCTCCAACTTTCTAGGTTTTCCTCCACCTGCTCTCTGCTCTCACTACAAATCACAATGTCATCTGCAAACATCATTGTCCATGGAGATTCCTGTCTGACCTCATCTGTCAACCTGTCCATCAA